CTAAACCCCTCCTCACTATTTCTAATAATCGGAAATCCCGTCGGCATTTTTTGCATTAAAGACCATAAATAAAGCGCGTTCGCATCGTACCCCTTAATTGCCTGTACCACCTTTTTACTATTCCCCCTAATGAACGTTTCACCCTTTTCGTGATGTCTATGAAAAATAATGGAGGGGCCCCCTACGATATTATTTCGGATTGTTTTATGTAACTCTGATTCGCGCTCGGAACACAAAGAAAAAGAAACGTTTTTGGGTAGTGTTTTGAATAAGTATTTTAAGGTTACCCCCGGGACAGAAATCGCGTCTTTAAAAATATCAACCCCTAAATTTTTGTAAAAATTAGTTTGCTGCTCGAGCGCTTCGATAAACGGTTTTACATCGATATTGTTATACCAAATAAGATAATCTTTAAACGTTTGCATCCCCTTCTCTACCCAAATTTGCCTACACGTCGCGTACTCCTCGTCTGAAATGTTACAATTTTTTAATGATGAAAAAAAGGCCGAATGCGGAGGTAAAGACGTTTCATCTAAGACGGCTAAATTTTTGACATATTCGTACGGAAAAAATCCCTTGGTCTCTTTAACATTATATGCGGCGAGGTATTTACTATAGCTAAACCCTGGTGCTAGATAATTAACTATATCTAAGAACTTTAATTTATTTGTTGATATACACATAAAATTATTATTTCTTTTAACTACATATTTAAACGGTGTTTGTTTATCTTCTACGTCGTCTTCATCATCGTTACAACTAGCTCTAGGTCCCTCCTCTAACCCCTCTTCTGTGTTTGAATAAGCTAAAAAGTACTGAATAAAATACGGCTTAACGAGATTTATATCATATGTTCCTGAATTAAACCCTATAACCGGCATTTGTCGCAAATACTCGTCTAATCTACCGCTAAGAAACCTATCAAACCCTTTGTCGTTCGACTTATTATCACTACCCCTAGCTTTAGGTGGAAATAACTTCCTGATTTGCTTAAAAACAGGCTCGAACTGTTTTTTCAAAATTCCATAAGCTGCCTCGGCGATTATGTGGAGTCTGTCAATAACTCTAGTCACTAATTCTTGAGGGTCACCAGTCGAAATAAAACAGATGGGTTCGACGAACCCATCTACGTTTGAGGCGACAGAGCAAGACAAAGGCACGTGTTTGGCAACGCTTTTTGTAACTCTACCTAACGTGGGTAACTCGGTATGGTCGAAATAGCATTCGAAATCGTAAGTTGCTCGGAAGGGATAAACAAAGTTACTATCTACATCTAACCCATAGGACGCTAAAAACTCCCAGATTGTTTGCTGTGTCTGATAAACCCCTCCCTTATACCTATCTACGGGTTTCCCCCCATTACACCCTTTCACGTGTCTGTTTAATTGTTTAACGGTGGGCCATAATTTGTTACACACAGAACACGCGAAAGCGTGACCCGCCCCACCTATATTATTAATGTACATAAACTGGTTTTGAAAAAATAAAAGATACACAGTCTCCCTAAACCTATCACTACTTCTAATTTTCGGAGAAAGGATCTGGTTTTCGTTAAATTCAAAAAGCTCAATATTTACACTAAAACACGACTCTAAGAGGGGAATTTCGACCAACCTAACCCCGCTAAAATTATCCAAGGTCCCGAGACCTTGGTGCGCTTGCCACTGTTTCGCGAGTTTTAATGTTGGCTTTCTAAGATCTGTTACGGGTGCTCCTAAATGTGTGGCTAAACATCTAAAAAAGGAAAAATTGTCTGTGTAGGGTTTTGAATGTGAATCGTGTTGTAACATGTTAATGGCATGATTATGTTTAATAAAGTCAGGAATGTCTGTGAGAAGGGATGTGGGTAAAGGATTGTCTGTGGTCGTGTGTAAGTCTACTGCATCTCCCCTAAGGTCGTCTACAGGAAACATAGTGGTGTCTGAATAAATGGTACTGTCATTGTTAGTCTTTACGCGTTTGTTGTTTGCTATATCGTCATACGTCGTATGTCGTTTTAAAGGGCTAGTGTTGGTCGCGGTACAAGCTGTTTGGCTCGCTGAAGGGAGTTGGACAGTATGTGTGTCGGTCACTAATGTGGGTTGGAGTGTTTTTCTATCGGTCGATAATGTGGGTTGGTGTGTTTGTCTGTTAGTTGCTGATGGGGTGTCGCTCGGTAAGGTTTGGTTGTTGTGTGCTGTCTTATAGTGGGTTGTTAAATTTTCTCGGCGTGTAAATACTTTCCCGCATGATGTACAGGAATGTCTTTGTCGTCCGTGTGCCGTCTCTTGATGTCGTATGAAATGTTGATTACGTTTGAACACCCGGTCACAGATCTCGCATGTGAAGCGGGTCATGGTTGGGTGGGTGGTAGGCTGGGCGGCTTCCATTATTGATGAAGTGTCTAGTAGTCGGCTGCTTGGGTAGGTCGCTGGCTGTAGAATAAAAATAAAATAAATAAAGATTAAAGTAATTACATAAAATAAAATACATTTGTCAACTTTTTAAATAAAAAAAGATTGAAAATGAAACGTACCTATGGGTTTGCACGTCTAAGCTGAACGTGAAGTTAGCTGTATGTGGAGATCCGAAGTGGTGTAGTTGGATGTAGTTGGAACGTTTGGTTCAGTGGATGCCTCGGGGCTGGGTAGGTAGCTCAATGGGTCAGTGGATGGAGCGGTTGTGTCGGTTGTACACTAAAAAGGAATACAGTTGCCTACTTATTTAGATACATATTTATTTAAAGGTTATTTTAATTGGTTAGTTTCCTTAAAACAATACGTACTATTAACCTTACCTCGGTGTGCGATACAAAATTAAATACATGTGACTACTTATTTAATAAGATTTGATTTTAATGGGGTTAGCTCCCTTAAAACAATACGTAATATTAACCTTACCTTGGTGTATGATACAAAACTAAAGTAAATACCTGTGACTACGTATTTAGAAAAAGGTTTAATTAAAAGGGGTTAGCTCCCTTAACACAAAAGTAATATTATCCTTACCTTTAATAGAATAAACACCCACAGAGTGCGGTCCGTGGTTGTTTAGGTAGATGTGGTGATTGGTAAAGCTGGCGTGGGTTAGTCTCGGGAGTCAACAGAGGTCGCAGGCTGGATAAGTCGCGGTGAAGTTTGGTGTGAAGTCCGAAGTCGAATTGGTTTCAAACAAAATTTTCGCGGTCATTTATACGATTGCTCAGCGTAATTACACCACCAGCTGTCGCACAACAGCTGTTGCATAATGACCTAAGTGCTTCGCGGAGCTGACAAATCGATCGACGTACTTCGCGGAGCTGACAATTCGATTGGGGAAAAAATCAATTAAAGTGGTAACAGATGTTCCCACACTTAACGCGGAGAGGCACTTAATGTACGTCGTTAATTATCATGACCTGTCAAACCGAGCGGGGAAACTCGGTGAAGCATAACAAAATTTAATTAGGTGGGACATCATGCTGTGATGGCCCGTGGGTGGAATCAATATTAACGCGCCCGTTGTCCAGTGTTTGACAAAAACAAAGGATTGCGGATCGATATGTAACACATGTTGCACGGTTGGTTAAAGGGTGGTATACAAAGTATACGTTCGCGTTGTAGGGGAGAATTTTAAACATACATACAAATAAATAAATAAATAAACAAAAGTAATTAAAATCAAATTACGTAACTAGTTAATAATAATTTAACTAATTATAAAATAAAATAAAATTAAAAATAAACAAAATAAAAATAATTAAAAAGTAAACAAATAATCAAATTACGTAACTCGTTAATAAAAATTACACAATATAAACAAAGTAATTAAACAATTTAAATCAAACAAATTAAACAATTACGTAATAAAAACACATTAAAATTACGTAACTAGGTCAAAAATTAATTAAAATTTTAAAAACTCATTAAATCTAGTTAAAAAAACGCATTAAAATTACGTAACTAGGTCAGTGATGACGTCACAAAGTCACTAATTACGTCACAAGGTCAATGATTACGTCACAATGTCACTGGTGACCTACTTCCCCACCACCTGCGCCAACCCCGGTTGGCGTAGTATTTTACTATATGTCTTTGCGCCTTCACCCTTCGCTCCTCACCCTGCGATGCGCCAGGCTGGGAGTATTTTGCTATATCTCATTGTCCCAGGCTGCGCCTGCTCCTCCCGAGTATTTTACTATATAACCTTTGCGCCTGCGCCTTGACTCCTCCGCCAAAAATGCTAACCAAAAGGGACCTAATATACTACTATTGTACACTGTACCAGACGACCAACTTTAAATTATGCACTGTACCAGACGACCAACTTTAAATTGTGCACTGTACCAGACGACCAACTTTAAATTGTGCACTGTACCAGACGACCAACTTTAAATTGTGCACTGTACCAGAGTACCAACTTTAAATTGTGCACTGTACCAGACGACCAACTTTAAATTGTGCACTGTACCAGACGACCAACTTTAAATTGTACACTGTACCAGACGACCAAGTTTAAATTGTGCACTGTACCAGACGACCAACTTTAAATTGTACACTGTACCAGACGACCAAGTTTAAATTGTGCACTGTACCAGACGACCAACTTTAAATTGTGCACTGTACCAGACGACCAACTTTAAATTGTGCACTGTACCAGACTACCAACTTTAAATTGTACACTGTACCAGACGACCAAGAGCAGAAGAGCAACACGCTGCCGTTATCGTTGCTTGATCGTATACAGTGTCGGAGATAACCAACAACTGAGTTCAGGCAATCTTTGACCTTTGAACTCGTGCAGCGTATTTCACCCACCCTGCATGTATTTCATTTCATTAAACTATCTTAACTAGCAGACGACACAATCAACGGATTTGGCGGTGCAACTTGGAACGTGATATAAACTAACTGACGTCACAAACATGACAGAAACTAGTCGACGTCACAAACGTGACGGAAACTAGCTGACGTTACGATGTTTTGATCTACTGCAATATCACCTGCTGTTTACGTCACTCCACGTGTTCCCACGCGACTTACCTGGAGAGAACATAAACAATCCTTCCTGGCCCACGGTGGGAGAGAACAAAATCACTTAAGTCCTTGACATAATGTTCATTTCCTAAAATTAACCACATAAGTCCATGGTATAAAAATAAGTTCCTAAGTCGAAGACACAACTAGAAATGAAGGTAAAACAAGCGTACAGCTGGCTTAAGATCTCAGTAAACGGTTCAACAGTAAAGCACAGAGGGCAGGCTTGCGACAAGACGGATGTAAGATTTGGTTTGACCAGGTAAATAGACCAACCTGTGTACGTCGCGCGTTGATCAGTGCGGGGTAACTAGAGATAAGCTTTAGTGGGGCGTGTTGACACACCTGCACTACACACCTGGCTAGATAGAGACCCATAAACAATCTATATCAGCTGACTGGTGTTTTTTTTATAGTCGGCACCACGAGTCAATACGAGGGTGGGTGCGGCTGTTTGCCCCCCCCCCCCCCCACCCGCCCCTTATGCGGATATCAACAACTGGATGAGACGTCTTATTTCGACACTACTGGGGAAATTTGGCAGGTGACCTGATGTTAAGTTTCACCTGGATTCTGGGAAGTTTCGCGTTGTATTTTTAGAATTTATTTTACTATCTTGCTGTCACGTCTATGTTGTCATGCCTTAGTTGTCACGTCTATGTTGTCATGCCTTAGTTGTCACGTCTATGTTGTCATGCCTTAGTTGTCACGTCTGTTGCCATGGTTGTGTTGTGTCACATTGTGTTGTCACGTGGTGTTGACACGTTATGTTATTGTTTCGGTTCTTTGACTTACCACGACAACAACACAATATAAGAACAACAGACTTGACCGGCTGTAGAGAATAGACCGGCTCTAGAGAATAGACCGGCTGTACATAGTAGACCGGCTGTATATAGTAGACCGGCTGTATATAGTAGACCGGCTGTAGAGAATAGACCGGCTGTACATAGTAGACCGGCTGTACAGAGTAGACCGGCTGTACAGAGTTGACCGGCTGTACAGAGTAGACCGGCTGTACAGAGTTGACTGGCTGTACATAATAGACCGGCTGTACATTGTTTTTTAAGCCAGCATCCTAACCAAATACAATATAGACATTTAATGAACTGCAGTAAGGATAATTTTGGCCTAGTATGTCACTTAACAGTGCGGCCTAACAGGATGTGATAAACATAACATAAAGAATAACTTGATGTCCTTGTTTGACTTCAAGAGATTTCCTAGACATATGTAGTAATGCGTGACTGAGGGAGGCGGGGTGGGGGGAGGTGGGGGGAGAGATTTTGGGGAGGTCACTCAAAGTTTGTCAACCCACCCACCCCTAGCGACGCCCTCATATAAGAGGTTTGTAGTCTTTACTACGATTATGTTTGCAATGATTATATCAATTAAAAAAAAATGCTTATAGATCGTCGCCTATGTAGGTCATGATGAAGATATGCTAATCTACCCCTGGGTTTACGATATACCTGTGACACACTGGGTAGCTACACTTTACATAGCCTACCGTTGTGTGCCGGGGATTGTTTTTAATTTCCCTTAAGTAAATCTCCCCTTCTCTTGAATGTCGATCTTTGGTCCAGGATTGTAAAACTCGCGAAACCATTCGAGAATTTATGTATGCCTCAGTGGGCCTCATGCATGCGGGTGTGGCGTTCCCAGAACCATCTATGGGCTCGTCATCCCCCTGACCCCCACCCCCGTTTCCCCTCCCTCCCTACCCCATAACCCTTTCCCCCTCCCTCCCTCTACCCCCCTTTTTCCCTCCCTCTACCCCACCCCCACCTTTTCCCCTCCCTCCCGCTACCACACCCCCCCTTCCCCTCCCTCCCTCCACCCCCCTTCCCCCCTCCCTCTACCCCACTACCCGCCTTTCCCCTCCCTCCCTCTACCCCCCTTTTTCCCTCCCTCTGCCCCACCCCCCTTCCTCCCTCTACCCCACCCCCACCTTTTCCCCTCCTTCCCGCTACCAAACCCCCCCTTCCTCTCCCTCCCTCTACCCCACACCCCCCTTTTCCCCTCCCTCCCTCTACCCCCACCCACCCCATCCCCCTCCCTCTACCCCCCCTTTTCCGCTCCCTCTAACCCACCTTCTACCCCACCCCCCCCTTTTCCGCTCCCTCTAACCCACCTTCTACCCCACCCCCCACCCTTTCCCCTCCCTCCCTCCACCCTTTCCCCTCCCTCCCTCCACCCTTTCCCCTCCCTCCCTCCACCCCCCCCCCCCTTCTCACCTCCCTACCCCCCCCCCCTTCTCACCTCCCTACCCCCCCTTCTCACCTCCCTACCCCCCCCTTCTCACCTCCCTACCCCCCCTTCTCACCTCCCTACCCCCCCCCCCTTCTCACCTCCCTACCCCCCCCTTCTCACCTCCCTACCCCCCCCCCCCCCTTCTCACCTCCCTACCCCCCCCCTTCTCACCTCCCTACCCCCCCCCCTTCTCACCTCCCTACCCCCCCCCCCTTCTCACCTCCCTACCCCCCCCCCCCCCCTTCTCACCTCCCTACCCCCCCCCCCTTCTCACCTCCCTACCCCCCCCACCCCCTTCTCACCTCCCTACCCCCCCCCACCCCCTTCTCACCTCCCTCTCCCTACCCCACCCCCTTCTCACCTCCCTCTCCCTACCCCACCCCCTTCTCCCTCCCTCTCCCTACCCCACCCCCTTTTCCCCTCTCTCTCCCACCCCCTTTTCCCCTCTCTCTCCCACCCCCTTTTCCCCTCCCTCCCCCTACCCTACGCTCCCTCCATCTTCCCCACCCCAGTTTCCCCTCCCTCCATTTTCCTCTCCCTAACCCAACCCCAGTCTCCCTCTCCCCTCTCTCTTCATATCCTCTGCCCTACCCTCCTTTCCCCTCCCCCTCTTCCCCCCCCCCTTTTTTCCCTCTTTCCCACCCACTCCCCAACCCCCATTTTTTTCCCCAGCTTATTTACCCCCGTTTCAATGCACGCAACCATTTCCCTAATTTAACCCATTTATACAACAATATAAAAAAACAAAAGAATTAGAGCGAGTATTAAATACCATGCTAATGTAGTTCTTTCAAATTTTAGATTACTTTTCTTGAAAAAGTGTTTTTATTTATTTCTAAATAGTCTTATCTAAGAGTAAACATTTTTTTTTTGCTTTATATATATATTTATGCTGGTCATGTCCTCACATGGTGGGCTGGTCATGTCCTCACATGGTGGGCTGGTCATGTCCTCACATGGTGGGCTGGTCATGTCCTCTGGTCATGTCCTCTCATGGTGGGCTGGTCATGTCCTCACATGGTGGGCTGGTCATGTCCTCTGGTCATGTCCTCACATGGTGGGCTGGTCATGTCCTCACATGGTGGGCTGGTCATGTCCTCACATGGTGGGCTGGTCATGTCCTCACATGGTGGGCTGGTCATGTCCTCACATGGTGGGCTGGTCATGTCCTCACATGGTGGGCTGGTCATGTCCTCACATGGTGGGCTGGTCATGTCCTCACATGGTGGGCTGGTCATGTCCTCACATGGTGGGCTGGTCATGTCCTCACATGGTGGGCTGGTCATGTCCTCACATGGTGGGCTGGTCATGTCCTCACATGGTGGGCTGGTCATGTCCTCACATGGTGGGCTGGTCATGTCCTCACATGGTGGGCTGGTCATGTCCTCACATGGTGGGCTGGTCATGTCCTCACATGGTGGGCTGGTCATGTCCTCACATGGTGGGCTGGTCATGTCCTCACATGGTGGGCTGGTCATGTCCTCACATGGTGGGCTGGTCATGTCCTCTGGTCATGTCCTCACATGGTGGGCTGGTCATGTCCTCACATGGTGGGCTGGTCATGTCCTCACATGGTGGGCTGGTCATGTCCTCTGGTCATGTCCTCACATGGTGGGCTGGTCATGTCCTCACATGGTGGGCTGGTCATGTCCTCACATGGTGGGCTGGTCATGTCCTCACATGGTGGGCTGGTCATGTCCTCTGGTCATGTCCTCACATGGTGGGCTGGTCATGTCCTCACATGGTGGGCTGGTCATGTCCTCACATGGTGGGCTGGTCATGTCCTCTGGTCATGTCCTCACATGGTGGGCTGGTCATGTCCTCACATGGTGGGCTGGTCATGTCCTCTGGTCATGTCCTCACATGGTGGGCTGGTCATGTCCTCACATGGTGGGCTGGTCATGTCCTCACATGGTGGGTTGGTCATGTGGGCTGGTCATGTCCTCACATGGTGGGCTGGTCATGTCCTCACATGGTGGGCTGGTCATGTCCTCACATGGTGGGCTGGTCATGTCCTCTGGTCATGTCCTCACATGGTGGGCTGGTCATGTCCTCACATGGTGGGCTGGTCATGTCCTCACATGGTGGGCTGGTCATGTCCTCACATGGTGGGCTGGTCATGTCCTCACATGGTGGGCTGGTCATGTCCTCACATGGTGGGCTGGTCATGTCCTCACATGGTGGGCTGGTCATGTCCTCACATGGTGGGCTGGTCATGTCCTCACATGGTGGGCTGGTCATGTCCTCACATGGTGGGCTGGTCATGTCCTCACATGGTGGGCTGGTCATGTCCTCACATGGTGGGCTGGTCATGTCCTCACATGGTGGGCTGGTCATGTCCTCACATGGTGGTCTGGTCATGTCCTCACATGGTGGGCTGGTCATGTCCTCACATGGTGGGCTGGTCATGTCCTCACATGGTGGGCTGGTCATGTCCTCACATGGTGGGCTGGTCATGTCCTCACATGGTGGGCTGGTCATGTCCTCTGGTCATGTCCTCACATGGTGGGCTGGTCATGTCCTCACATGGTGGGCTGGTCATGTCCTCACATGGTGGGCTGGTCATGTCCTCACATGGTGGGCTGGTCATGTCCTCTGGTCATGTCCTCACATGGTGGGCTGGTCATGTCCTCACATGGTGGGCTGGTCATGTCCTCTGGTCATGTCCTCACATGGTGGGCTGGTCATGTCCTCACATGGTGGGCTGGTCATGTCCTCTGGTCATGTCCTCACATGGTGGGCTGGTCATGTCCTCACATGGTGGGCTGGTCATGTCCTCACATGGTGGGCTGGTCATGTCCTCACATGGTGGGCTGGTCATGTCCTCACATGGTGGGCTGGTCATGTCCTTACATGGTGGGCTGGTCATGTCCTCACATGGTGGGCTGGTCATGTCCTCACATGGTGGGCTGGTCATGTCCTCTGGTCATGTCCTCACATGGTGGGCTGGTCATGTCCTCACATGGTGGGCTGGTCATGTCCTCACATGGTGGGCTGGTCATGTCCTCACA